ATGAGGTCACTGTTGACAAGGAGGTACCCAATCAACAGTCCACAAATTTCTTACTAAGTACTTTCTAATTTTCAGGATTTAGAAAAAGGGGACAGAACTCTGAAACTGGTTAGCATTAAAAAAAACTCAGACCTTAAACCACGATATACAGAGAAGCCAATCTGTTTGTTTTCATTAACCACACCATCATATACAGGGATATAAATTAACAGTTATGAAACTACTAAAAACAAACACAAAATAAGTGGAAAACTATTGTTCAGTTTTTCAATTTCAAAAAATATTAATATTAATTTTCAAGGCTAAAAACTGGGTAACTCCTGATATATCATGCCAAAATTACCATCTTAGAAATTCAAACCAGATCTAGAAAGATACAAAACATTACAAAAACAAAAATTACATCTCTTTTAAGATCAAAACAAAAAATATTTTCCCTAAGTAGGGAATACTCTACAGCTAAGACAACAGAATACTACATAAGATTTCTATTACAAAATTATTAAATTATATATAACAAGTCTTTACCAACTGTATCATTTATGGGGCAGACAAGCGATAGAAGCTGTCATTATCTATCATGCTCTGATACTTATTTTTTTTACTTTGATAAAACTTCCATATTTCTCAGAAGATAAATTCTACATTTAGCCACCTAACATTTCTGATACTCCCACTAAAGGAAAACTTCCTCCTCTTTACACTCTTATAAAACAGGCGCTTTTTTTTTTTAAATAGTTTTTTTTTTTTTTTTTTTTAATTTTTTGACAGGCAGAGTGGACAGTGAGAGAGAGAGACAGAGAGAAAGGTCTTCCTTTGCAGTTGGTTCACCCTCCAATGGCCACCGCGGCCGGCGCGCTGCGGCCAGCGCACCCCGCCGATCCGATGGCAGGAGCCAGGAGCCAGGTGCTTTTCCTGGTCTCCCATGGGATGCAGGGCCCAAGCACCTGGGCCATCCTCCACTGCACTCCCTGGCCACAGCAGAGGGCTGGCCTGGAAGAGGGGCAACCGGGACAGAATCCGGCGCCCCGACCGGGACTAGAACCCGGTGTGCTGGCGCCACAAGGCGGAGGATTAGCCTAGTGGACCGCAGCGCCGGCCCTCTCTCTGTCTTTAACTCTACCTCTCAAATAAATAAAATCTTTAAAAAGAAAAAATTCATGAAAAATGTGTATTATGAAAACATTATACGTTGATTTAAAAATTCTTATACCAGGGGCCAGCACGGTGGCATAGCAGGTAAAGCCGCCTCCTGCAGTGCCAGCACTCCATATGGGCACTGGTTCAAATCGCAGCTGCCACACTTCCAATCCAGCTCTCTGCTATGGCCTGGGAAAGCAGCATAAGACGGCCCAAGTCCTTGAGCCCTTACACTCATGTGGGAAACCGGAAGTAACTCTTGGTCCCCGGCTCCGAATCAGTGCAGCTCCAGCTGTTGCAGCCAACTGGAGAATGAACCAGCAGATGGAAGACCTTTCTCTCTCTCTCTGCCTCTCCTTCTCTCTCTGTGTAACTCTGACTTTGAAATAAGTAAATAAATCTTTAAAAAATTCTTACACCAAAATAAATCTATCACCTAATTTACTTCTCCCTGGCTTTTGTTTTAATTACTTTATTTGAAAAGTGAAAGACAGAAAGAGGCAGAAGGGGCCAGCATCGTTGCACAGCAAATTAAGCTACCACATGCAACATGAGCATCCAGTGTGAGCACCAGATCAGGTCCCAGCTGCTCTGTATCTGATTCAGCCCCCTACTAACACACCTGGGAAAGCAGCGAAAGATTGCCTGGCTATCTGGTACCCTGCCATCCCAGTGGGAGTCCCAGATGAAATTCCAGGCTCCTGGCTTCAGCCTGCCCTATCTCCAGCAATATGGTCATTTGGGAAGAAACCCATCAAATGGAAGGTCTTCTTCTCTCTCTCTCCATCTCTGTAACTACCTTTCAAATAAATAATCTCAAAAAAAAAAAAAAAAAAGAGAGAGAGAGAGACAGACAGACAGACAGAGACAGAGACAGAAACAGACAGAAATCCTCTATTCATGGGTTCAATGCTCACAGCAACCAGGGCAGGATCAGGTCAAAGACAGGAGCCAGGAACTCCATGCCAGCCTCCCACACGAGAGGCTGGAACACAAATTCTGGGGCCATCACCTGATGCCTCCCAGCACATCAGCAGGAAGATGCAGCAAGAGCACAGAGAAGCTGAAACTTAAACCAGTCATTCCTATGGGATGTGGGCACTCCAGGTGGCAGCTTAACCCTGCGGCCACAATACCCGCCAGTCCACACACTTTCTGAAGTACTCTCATATACTAGGCCCTGTGCATTCTAGGACAATTTCCTTATTTTTCTTTCATCTAAGATAAACAAAGAATGATTTTATCTTAGATAGCCAAAGAATGTATTTTACATTTCTCTTACATTACGACACTTTTGCTGTATATGTAATTCTACTCATATGAAGATAAGCATTCAAGAAAATGTCACTTTGCTTCTAATTCTCTATTTATCCAAAATGTAATACTTAATATATTTGGTGCCTACTCTGTTGCAGACACCATTCTAAATTTTATAAATACATAGCATAACTAACCAAAATCTGTTGTCACATTATTTACATTCTAGTGCTTTAACAATAATAAACAACTATTACAAGGTCATACTACTTATGAATAAATACATAAGGGAACTCAAAAATGGGTTACGGGAAGACAGCATTGAAAAAGTGATATTTGAGCAAAGACTTAATAGAGTTGAGGGAACTATGCAAATATCCTAGGGGACATCCGTCCAGGAAGAGATAAAAACCAATGCAAAGTATCAGCAGTGGAACATTACATAGAGATACATTTGAGAAATTACAGCCAGAAGAGAAATATCAAAAGGGAAGCAGCAGGCCGGTGCCGTGGCTCACTAGGCTAATCCTCCGCCTAGCGGTGCCGGCACACCGGGTTCTAGTCCCGGTCGGGGTGCCGGATTCTGTCCCGGTTGCCTCTCTTCCAGGCCAGCTCTCTGCTGTGGCCAGGGAGTGCAGTGGAGGATGGCCCAAGTGCTTGGGCCCTGCACCCCATGGGAGACCATGATAAGTACCCGGCTCCTGCCATCAGATCAGCGCAGTGCACCGCGCGCCAGCCGTGGCGGCCATTGGAGGGTGAAACAACAGCAAAAGGAAGACCTTTCTCTCTGTCTCTCTCACTGTCCACTTTGCCTGTCAAAAAATTATAAAAAAAAAAAAAAAAAAAAGGGAAGCAGCCAAGAGAAAAAGTCAGAAAAGCTGAGACAACTGAAGATGGGATAGGCAGATTGTGTAGACAGAACCTTACAAGTTTAAGATTTTTGCTTCAGACCAGTGCTGGGGCATGCGGCCTTCCATAGGAGCCCTGGTTTAAGTTCAACTGCTCTACTTCCAATCCACTGCGCTAATGGGTCCAGGAAAGCTGTGGAAGATGGCTCAAGTACTTAGGCTACCACTTACATGGGAGACCTGGATAGGGTTCCAGGTTCCTGACCTTGGTCTGTCCCAGCTCCAGTCCTTAAGACCATCCAGGGTCTGTAACCTGTCCAGTATCCTCCTTAATAAATTGTCTTGGGTGGACATTTGACTTAGTGATTAAGATATCACTTGGGAAGCCTGTATTCCATCAGAGTGCCTGAGTTCAGGTTCCAGCTCTGCTTGATTGTAACTTCCTGTTAATGTGCACCCTGGAAGGCAGCAGGCAGTACCTCCAGTACTTGGGTTCCTGACACCCACATGGGAGACCAGAATTCAATTCTGGGCTCCTGGCTTGGCCATGGCCCAGCCCTAGCTGTAGCAGCCATCAGGGGAGTAATCCAATGGATGAAAAAGAAGAGTACACTCCCTCATTCCCTCTTCCTCACTGCCTTTCAAATAAATTTTAAGAGTAAATAAATAAAACAAATAATATTTTTAAAAACTTTTTAAATGCAGACAGGAATTGTGGCACAGGGAGTTAAGGCCCTGTATCTTCTTTCTTTTTTTTTAATTTTTATTTTTGACAGGCAGAGTGGACAGTGAGAGAGAGAGAGACAGAGAGAAAGGTCTTCCTTTGCCGTTGGTTCACCCTCCAATGGCCACCGCGGCCGGCGCGCTGCGGCCGGCGCACCCCGCCGATCCGATGGCAGGAGCCAGGTACTTATCCTGGTCTCCCATGGGGTGCAGGGCCCAAGCACTTGGGCCATCCTCCACTGCACTCCCTGGCCACAGCAGAGAGCTGGCCTGGAAGAGGGGCAACCGGGATAGAATCCGGCGTCCTGACCAGGTCTAGAACCCGGTGTGCCGGCGCCACAAGGCGGAGGATTAGCCTAGTGAGCCGTGGCGCCGAAGGCCCTGTATCTTCTAATTCTGCTTCTAAAGGTTCTTAAATATTACCAGGCCAGCTGAAAAGCTAACACAAAATAAATAAATTTCAAGAAATATATTTAAGAAGCTTTATTATTTTTGAAATAAAAGACACATCTGAAAATTCCTCTAGTAAGGCTACTATTTTGGGGACCAGCATTTTAACAGTATTGTGGTTTAAGTGGCTGTGTGTAATGCCAGCATCCCATATGAGCACTGGTTCCAAACCGGTACTCTACTTCCAACTCAGCTACCTGCTAACATGCCTGGGAAAGCAGCAGAAGATGGCCCAAGTGCTTGGGACTCTGCACCCACATGGGAGACCTGGATGGACTTCCTGTCTCCTGGTTTCAGCCTGGCCCAGCTACAGACACTGCAACCATTTGGGAAGTAAAGCAGCATTGTGAAGAGCTCTGTCTCTCCTCCTCTTTGCCTCTCTCTGTCTGTAACTCTGCCTTTAAAATAAATCAATCAATCTTAAGCAGGGAGAGGAGGTTGGCTGCTTTAAAATTTTCTTCTTATTTCATACACGAATGTCAATCTTTCTTAGACATCTACAATTTGTGTGGTTCAGGGCTTGAGGGAGTCTACATTTGAAATTAACAGTCAAAGCTAAAGTGCATTCAACTGATATATTACCTTGTTGATGCCATAATATCATTTGACTCCAGGACATTTTCAGTCATCCTCAGTTGAACTTCTTCTGGCATTTCATTTGATTTTTCTACATGCTCCTCTGGAAGTTCTTCTATATGTTCCAGCTTTTCATCTTCCTCGTCTTCCTCAGAAAGTTCATTAACCTACAGAAATAAAAGGAAATTCAGAATTAACACTTAATTAAACTAATTGATGTATCCTGAATATATTAATCTAAAAATATTTTAAACATAACTCATTTTCCCCATGGTGTGTCTTACATAATTACCTTCCAACTTTTTCATATCAAAATAAAATTATAAGGCCAGCGCCGCGGCTCACTAGGCTAATCCTCCGCCTTGTGGCACCGGGACACCGGGTTCTAGTCCCAGTCGGGGCACCGGATTCTGTCCCGGTTGCCCCTCTTCCAAGCCAGCTCTCTGCTGTGGCCAGGGAGTGCAGTGGAGGATGGCCCAAGTGCTTGGGCCCTGCACCCCATGGGAGACCAGGATAAGTACCTGGCTCCTGCCATCGGATCAGCACGGTGCGCCGGCCGCGGCGGCCATTGGAGGGTGAACCAACGGCAAAGGAAGACCTTTCTCTCTGTCTCTCTCTCTCACTGTCCACTCTGCCTTTCAAAAATAAAATAAAATAAAATAAAATAAAATAAAATAAAATTATAAGCCACACAAATTATTTTGACATGGGAAGTAACAACTCTAAGCCCACAAACTAAAAAAAGCTGGCACACTATAGTTAACACTAAGAAAGCTTCATTTTCTAGCCAGCTTTGTAAATCTAATAATTACAAAAGATTTCTAATTGATTCCTCCAACTTTTAGGTGCATTAAACAAGTCATTTTAAGTACAAAAAAAGAAAGGTACATTTTGCCTTAAGGTGTTAGCTATGTTTTAGAAAATGTCAGCTAACCTCTAAATGATTCAGATTAAATTTGTCATGAAAAGACTCCTATATCATAATGCCTACAACAAGGGAAAAAAAAAATCATACTTTAACCACTTAGTACAAGTTTATAATGACGTAACTGATGGACGTCATAAAATATCCTCTATTATTAGACTGGCCACATTAGGAATCACTCATTAAAAACACAATGCAATACTGAAGAAGGGAAATCAGCAAAATAGTTTCCAATGAGAAATATTTTTTAAGTTATCTTAAAGAAGAAACAACCCACTCATGGTCTTAATATCTTATATAAGTTAATATTAGTCATTAAGAACACTGAGCAAGGGCTGAAGTTGTATAGCACAGTAGGTTAAGCCATGTGTGCAACGCAGGTATTCCATATCAGAGCACTGGCTCCAGCCCTGACTGCTCCGCTTCCAGCTCCCTGTGAATGGAGTGGAGAATGGCCCAAGTACTTGGGTCCCTGCCAGCCATGTGGGAGATCCAGATGGAGTTCCTGGCTCCTGGCTTCAGCCTGGTTCAGCCCTGGTTATTGGGGGAATTTGTTGAGTTAGCCAGTGAATAGATGATCTTTCACTCTCCCATTCAAATAAATAAATAATTTTTTATTTAAAGAAAAGGGAGAAACAGCACTATGGCACAGTGAGTTAAACTACCACCTGCAACACCCACATCCCATATGGGTGTCAGTTGAAGCCATGGATGTTCCACTTCCAATCCAGTTCCCTGCTAATGTGCCTTGGAAAGTGGCAGAAGATAGCCCAAGTTCTTAGACAATTGCCACCCAGGTGGGAGACCAGGATGGAGTTCCAGAGTTGCAACCAGTTGGGGAGTAAATCAGCTGATGGAAGATCTGTTTCTCACTCCCTATCTGTAACTCTGCCTTTCAAATAAACAAATAGAAGTAAAAACTGGGGTGGGCATTGTCCTGCAGCAGGTTAAGTAAGCTCTTGTTCACCCACTCCCATATCATAATGCCTAGGACTGAATCCCACCTCTATCTTCTAAACCAACTTCCTGTAACTGTGTCTGGGAGGCACAGATGATGGCCCTCAATTTCATTCCCTGCCATTCCATCCATGTGGGAGACTAGAATGGAGTTCTTGGTTCATGGATTCAGTCTGTCCAAGCCTCAGCTGTTGTAGGCATTTGGGGAAGGAACCAATGGATGGAAGATCTCCATCCCTTCTACCACTCTGGCTTTGAAATAAATAAATAAGTCTTTAAAAAAAAAAGAAAAAATTGGGGCTGGCACTGATTTGAGTGCCGGCTACTCCACTTCTGATCCAGCTCTCTGCTATGGCCTGGGAAAGCAGTAAGAGATGACCCAAATGCTTGGGCCATCCTACACTGCTTTCCCTGGTGCATTAGTAAGAGAGCTGGATCAGAAGTGGAACAGTGGCTGGCACTGTGGTATAGTGGGCCAGGCCTCAGCACCGGTTTAAGTCCCGGCTGCTCCTCTTCCGATCCAGCTCTCTACTACGGCCTGGGAAAGCAGTGAAGGATGACCCAAGACTGTGTGGATTTGCACCCACGTGGGAGACCTGAAAAACCTGGAATAATCTCCTGGCTTCAGATAGGCCCAGCTCCAGCAGTTGCAGCCATTTGGGGAGTGAATCAGTGGATGGAAGATCTGTCTCTCCCTACAATAAATAAAATCTTTTTTTTTTTTTTTTAATTTATTTGACAGGCAGAGTTAGACAGTGAGAGAGGGAGAAAGGTCTTCCTTCCGTTGGTTCACCCCCCAAATGGCCACTACAACCAGAGCTGCGCCAATCCGAAGCCAAGAGCCAGATGCTTCCCCCTGGTCTCCCACATGGGTTCAGGGGCTCAAGCACTTGGGCCATCCTCCACTGCCTTCCCCGGCCACAGCAGAGAGCTGGATTGGAAGAGGAGCAACCAGGACTAGAACCCGGTGCCCAAATGGGATGCCGGCACCGCAGGCGGAGGATTAACCGAGCGAGCGACGGCGCCAGTCCCAATAAATCTTCAAAAAAAAAAAAAAGGGAAAAAAGGGTGGAGCGGCTGGGTCTCAAAGGGGCACCCACATGGGATACAGGCGTTACAGGCAGCAGCTACACCACAGCACTGGCCTCCAAAAGAAATCTTAAAGATGGCCTTTTAAGCTGAGGTTAGACAAATATCTAGTCCATACATTTTTATGAGGAGGCACAACTACTTTAACATGTCACATACACACTTTTAAAAAATCAATTGTGGGGGAGGGGGCAGTGCTGTGGCACAGTGGGTAAAGCCACCACCTGCACTGATGGTGTCCCATATGGGCACCAGTTCAAGTCCCTGCTGCTCTATTTCTGATCCAGTTCTCTGCTATGGCCTGAGAAAGAAACAGAAGATGGCCTAAGTCCTTGCGCCCCACACCTAAAAACTTCTGGCTCCAGGTTTTGGATTGGCACAGCTCCAGCCGTGGTGGCCAACTGGGGAGTGAACCAGCAGATGGAAGCCCTCTCTCTGCCTCTCCTTCTCTTTCTGTGTAACTCTGGGACTTCTAAATAAACAAATTTTTTAAAAATTCAATTTGTGTCTACAGTCAGTAGTCCTTAGGAACTATGAAAGCCTTACAGTCAATTATATTGAATATATACTTAATTCAATAAGCTTTATGTAAATTTTTTAAAGACTTTATTTATTTGAAAGACAGAGTTACAGAGAGAGGTAGAAACAGAGTTCTTCCATCCACTGGTTTACTCCCCAGATGGCCGCAATGGCCAGAGCTGCGCCAATCTGAAGCCAGGAGCCTCTTCCGGGTCTCCCACGTGGGTGCAGGGGCCCAAGGACTTGGGACACCATCTACTGCTTTCCCAGGCCATAGCAGAGAGCTGGATTGGAAGAGGTGCAGCCTAGAACAGCTGGCACCCATATGGGATGCTGGCACTTCAGGCCAGGGCTTTAACCCACGGCACCACAGTGCCAGCCCCATGCTTTATGTAAATTAATTGATATTAAAGCAATATTTTTGCTAACAATTATCAACTAAGGTATGACATGAACCATAACCATGGGCTTTTCTTCCTCCCTCCATGCACCCCAACGTAATTTCCTGTGGTGAGAACTGACTCAATTATCTTCAGCAAGAATAAGAATTAAATAGAGTCAAATGCCCTCTAACCCCATACTAATCTCTTCTTGTCAATCTGACCTCCTGCTTATCAAGAACATTCTGCTCATAAATTATTTTTAATTTGTCCTATGTAGGCAGCTGCCTCAACTCCACTAATGGAAACCCCTCATCCATACTTACATCTCTTCTGTCTTTGACTGCTGTAATTCCCTTCTCTAGGGCCTCAGGAAATGCCTGATCTCCAGACTCCAGCTTGTGGAGAACGCTGCTACCTGCCTTCTCAAATGTATAAAGAAACATAATTATCACCTCCATCTTCAAGCCACTCTACTTGTTTCTCATTCATTTAAGGACCCATACAAAGTTCATTTGACTCTGGGTCATTTCTCAAACATTCCCTCCACTCATGATCTCCAGCCATCTCTCTCCTATTAATAAAAATTGAGAAGGTTCTAATAGTCAAGTATTTGCATTCATGAGATACAATTCCAAAAGAATATAGTGTTAGATAAATTCTGCTTCTTTCAAATATCAAAATCAGAAGGAGAAAAAAAAAAAAAAAGCAGCACTGCCAAGATGGGCCAGGACTGCCTGTATCTTTAAAAATACAGGTAAGAGGGGTGGACATTTGCCCTAGCAGTTGAGCCAAAGGTTGGGATAACCACATCCTCTACACAAGTGCCTGGGTTTGAGTCCTGGCTCTGCTCCCAGTTCCAGCGTCCTGCTAATACACACTCTGGGAGGCAGCAGGTGATAGGACCCTAACACTCACATGGAGAGTGGTTAGTTTCAGTTCCTGACTTCAGCCTGGTCCAACACTGGCTGTTGTAGGCATCTGAGGAGTGAACCAGCACAGGACGCACACATTCTCTCTCTCTCTGTTTCTCCCTGTCTTTTAAATAAATTAAAATGTAGCAGATATAAAAGTATGGGGGCTGGCACTGTGGCACAGATGGTTCAGACACTGCCTGCAGTGTCAGCATCCCATAGAAGTGTGAGCTTGGCCCAGGCCCAGCCACTGCAGTCACTTGGGTATGAATCAGCAGATAGAAGATCCCTCTCTGTCTCTCCTCACTCTCCAAAATGCTTTCTTTCAAATAAATAAAATCTTTTTTTAAAGATACAGGAATAAGAGGCCAGTGCCATGGCACAGTAGGTTAATCCTCCACCTGCGGCGCCAGCATCCCATACAGGCACGGGTTCTAGCCCCGGCTGCTCCTCTTCCAGTCCAGCTCTCTGCTATTGCCTGGGAAAGCAGCAGAAGATGGCCCAAGACCTTGGGCCCCTTCACCCCTGTGGGAGACCTGGAAGAAGCTCCTGGCTCCTGGCTTCAGATCAGCACAGCTCTGGCCAGTGCAGCCATTTGGGGAGTGAACCAACAGAAGGAAGACCTATCTCTCTGTAACTCTAACTCTGAAATAAATAAAATCTTTAAAAAAAAAAAAGATATCTTATTCCTGTATCAATAGCATTAAGTCATTTAGTATTTACTTGTAACCCACTTATAATCCAGAAATATAATAAAAACAGATTAAAAATATATCCATGTGATTTGCAACATGAGTTAAGATAATGAAATATACAAGTCTCTCAGAACCTAGCACACTAACTAATTTACTATGCATATTCTGTTTAATATGCCACCATCCTCTTCTCCATCCATGGCAAATTTGCAGAATTCAACATTACCTCCTGGTATTGCTTAATTTAACAACCATTCAACTTAATAAGTACGTAAAACAAAGCATATTTTGAGTGAACTTTTCTAGTGATTAAAAAAAGATGAAATAAATGTGAAATATATATATATTTATTTCAGTATACATAAATAAACCATAGAATAATAGAAATATCAGAGAACGCTATGACAGTATACAACATAATCAAGGCATACCATACAGACTATAAATAAAGCTAAAAAAGAAGAGAAAGGTGACAGGCAGAATTCCTCAATAAATGGAATACCTTTAAGACATTAAGGGTTTAAGGCATATCTATCTACTTTATCTACTTGTCCCTCTCTTTCTTTCCTTTCTTTTTTTTTTTTTTAATTTGAAAGGCAGAGTTACAAAGAGAGAAAGAGAGAGATCTTCCATCTACTGTTTCCCTTCCTAAATGGGCACAATGGCCAGGGCTGGACCAGGCCAAAGCCAGGAGCCAGAAGCTTCTTCCAGGTCTGCCACACGGGTACAGCGGCCTAAGTACTTGAGCCAACTTCTGTTACTTTCCCAGGCACATTAGCAGGGAGCTGGATTTGAAATGGAACAGCCGGTAGTCAAAACAGTTCCCACATGGAAAATTGGTATTGCAGGTAGCAGTTTAACTCACCATGCCACAATGCTGGCCCTGTCATTTCAAGTAACAGAAATATCAGTTTTTTTATTTTAAACAGGTTACTAAGTAAGGAACTGTATATGACCCTTGGAAACCTCCAAAAATATGTGCCAAAAGTTCCATGTAACACTGAGTTAGGTTATAAATTGTACCCATTTGATTTACTTTATACACATATATATGCACACATGCACGCATACACACACACATGAATATTTTTAAAAATGCACATTTCCCCATATTATGGTACATATACATAGAGGTAGGAGGTCCTTAAAAAATTTGTAGAAAATGTTCATTATGAAAAACTATGGATGGATCTCAAAAAATTTTTGCACACAAATCCTTATTTTTCATGAACTTTTTGAAGCACCCTGATGCGCGCACACACACACAGAATTTCAATCTCGGTTTACACATAAGTTATAATCAAGCATTTGTTACTATTCCTTTAAAGTCCATGATACCTTGGAGAACAAATCTCAAAAAGTAAAAAGCGTTACTCAAAAAGATGCATAAAAGCATAGCAATTCTTTTATATAAAAGCTGAGTTACTCAGAAAATAAAACTTCTAAACTCACATAATCAGATCCAAGAACTATCAGAACTTATACAAATCTGTATAATAATCTACTGTTCAAAAGATGCTGCTTTATCACTGCAAATGAAAGGCTGAAACCCAAATGGGCATCACTCAATAGTGTGACCACCCAAATCCGTACACATCTGACCATGATAGGTGGAGCTACTAAATATTCTATCAGATATAAACCAAGACTATTCTGGGAAAAGCAGAATGTATATCACTTTTCCAACTGGGGACTGTTAGTATACATCAAATAAATTATAAGGTTCTACCAGGACAATAAGGAAACTATACACATGCTCTCTACATTCTATTAGGAAAAGATCTCCAGGGGCCAGTGCTGTGGCATAACAGATTAAGCTACCACCTTCAGCATCAGCATCCCATACAGGCACTGGTTCGAGCCCTGCAGCTCTACTTCAAATCCGGCTCCCTGCCAATGCACCTGAAAAAGCAATGGAACATGGCCCAAGTGTTTGGGCCCTCAAAACCACACAGGTGACCCAGCTGAAGCTCCCAGCCCCAGCTCCCAGCTCCTGGCTTCGGCCTGTCCAGCCATAGCCACTGTAGCCATCTGGGGAGTGAACTTGCTACTTCTGACTTTCCAGCTCTGTAACTCCACCTTTCAAATAAATAAATAATCTTAAAAAAAAAAAAATCTCCAACATTCACTGCTGATATAAAACAAGGTAAAAAATAGCAGCATATGTAGTATACCACTTTACTGTTTAAAAAAAGGTAAAATATTTACTTTTTTTTTTCCATTTAAAAACTGTGGGTATGGGGCCGGCACAGGTTAATGCCCTGGCCTGAAGCGCTGGCATCCCATATGGGCTCCGGTTCAAGACCCGGCTGCTCCATTTCCAATCCAGCTCTCTGCTATGACCTGGGAAGGCAGTGGAGGATGGCACAAGTCCATGTGGGAGACCTGGAGGAAGCTCCTGGCTCCTGGCTTCGGATCAGCGCAACTCCAGCCATTGCGACCAGTTGGGGAGTGAACCATAGGATGGAGGACCTCTCTCTTTCTCTCTGCCTCTCCTCTCTCTGTATAATTCTGACTTTGAAATGGATAAATAAATCTTAAAAAAAAAAAAAAAAAAAACTAAGGGTAAGCATTTAAGAAACAATGGGGAGGACGGGGAAAAAAATTGGTTATTTAACACAAAAAGACATTTTGCTGTACATTTTATTTTTCAAAATTACTAAATTATTAACCAATATTTAAAACGTAGCAGCTCCACCCCACAATCAAAATATCATAGTTTTTAACCTAATAAAAGATTTCTGGGGCCGGCACTGTGGTGCAGCAGGTTAATGCCCTGGCCTGAGGCGCCAGCATCCCATATGGGCACCAGTTTGAGACCTGGCTGCTCCACTTCTGATCCAGCTCTCTGCTGTGGCCTGGGAAAGAAGAAGATGGCCCAAGTCTTTGGGCCCCTGCACCAGCATGGGAGACCCAGAAGAAACTCACGGCTCCTGGCTTTGGAATGGCACAGCAGCTCTGGCCGTTGCATCCAACTGGGGAGTGAACCATAGGATAGAAAACCTCTCTCTCTCTCTCTCTCTCTCTCTCTCTCTCTCTCTGCCTCTCCTCTCTCTGTGTAACTCTTTTAAATAAATAAATAAATCTTTAAAAAAAAAGTTTGCTGACAAACAATTTCACTTAAGTATGGAAGAAAACCCCCCCAAAAGACCTAAATCACAAATTCTATACTGCATGATTCTAGACTAATACAGCTTTATAATGAACTGCAATTCCTCAGCGTTAAGATTCCCATTTGATAAGGGGAGAGTAAGTAAGATACTTGCATAATCTCAATAACCAAGGCATAGCAGTAACAACAAGAGATCACAACACAGCCTCAGAAATGGGCTTTAATATTCTAAAGTTACTAGAATTAAAAAGTATCAGCAACCCAACCTAGTAATCTCCAAATGCTTCCCATTAATGGCAACAATGACACTACTACATTGATATGCTAGGTTAGTCAAAAACATTTCAAATTTTTCTAAGTTCAGACTGAATCTTTCCCTTAAATTTCTCACCCTTTACGTACACTGACCAGTGCTAGCAGTTTCTTTGCAAAAACCAAAATCACACTATACTTGCAAAATAAACAATGCCTAAGTTAGGAAAAAAAAAAAAAAAGGCACATAAAACCCAAAAACCTTTACCACACAGAAGTACTCTGATTGCAATGCCTTTTCCTTATTACCCAAATTGAAAACAAGAAGTTGTTCAGAAATAAAAAGTTCTCATCCATACACTATATAGATGTGTTACCACCTGATTAAATAAACAGAACTATTTCTAGTTCAGTATCTAAATTCCACATTAAGTTTGTGTCAACCCTTTAAGAGACTATTCTTAAAAAATAAGTCTCTCTTCAAATACATTAAAAATACTCTCACCTGTTCTGTAATGGAACTCAAATCATTTGATGAAAACTCTTCCTCTTCGTTCTCAAAAAACCCATAGTAATTTTCCAGAAGTCCAGCCATTATCCGGCTCACTATTTCTTGCTCTTTCATATCTTCCACATCTGTATAAATGCTAAGAATGAAAGTTCAAATGAACTGAGAGTACCTAAATCAATCATAGGTAGATTTAGGAAACAACTGGAATCACTTCATGAACCTAAGCAATTTATGTCATCATTCTGTGTCTCATTTTCCCATCTGAAAAGCCTACCTAACTAGAACCCTTTTTCACATAAATGCTGAGATTAATACGATGTACTATAAAAAACAACGGTACGGTACATCAAATAACCCATGATTCTTGGAAGACAATATACTGATTCTATTTTACAAACAAAATTTTTAAAATTAAACAAAAATTGTCAAATAACTCACTGGAAGACATCTGGACCAAAGACAGCAGCCAAAGAATTCGCAGACCAAATTTCTTCATGATGTGAAGCTACATTGGCTAAAAATCTACACAGAAACTTTAATAAACTGTAATTAACAGGTGGAAGCTGTTGCAAGAGGAACTTCAATTTTCTTCCAAATTCATCTTCATTATTATAATCTATAAAAGATAATGACAGGTCTTTTTAATGAAGTAAAAAAGTAAGGCTCAGATACTCTGCCAGGTTCACATCACTCCACCCACATCACCTTTTTACTTCAACAATTTAAAACCTCTTCACTTCCTCTACCAGAGGCCAAATGCCTTCAGGCTTTGCATTTCACTTATTAAATGGGAGAAAAGTTGGAAAGGAGGAGGTAAAGAAAAGGAACTAAAACCCTCAACTGCTGGAGGATGTTTTCCTCATCTATTACTCACTGGCCCCAATTCTCTCTGTACTGTCTCTTGCATGACTGTACCTGTATTTTCAAACTAGCGCCAACTAGAAGAAGTCAAAAGACATTGGCCATGCCAGTCAACAAGAACTACTATGAGCAAAGCAAAAACACAATTTGATGGACTGATATCACTATCAGTGATATTTTTCCACTTAAATGAACTGAGAAAATAAGAAAAGAACAGGGTGACAGAGTGACTTTTTTCTTCCCCTAATATCTAGAAGGTCTTGCATTCCACATCTTTCTCCTCTAAACTGATGGTACTCTCTTATCAACTGGAGTTTATCACAGAAGCCAGGGCTTGTGTTTATCATGTCAGTGAGTTCTCACAAACAGAAACTCAGCCTCCATCAACCCCACTGCTTAATGAGGGCCACTTTAAGAGAGGTAATTTCACAGAGGTGCTCTCAAAATGGGGGAATTTTTTGCTTCAACAATTAATTCAATTTTATTTCATTTTGTATTTTTCTGCAGGTTCTTAAAATTAATTTACAGAAACATTCTCGGTAAAAAGTTACAGTCATAATATTGGCCATCTCTGCAAAATAACAAAAGTCTACAGTTTATCAGGAAAGGCTACATAGAGTCACATGAGTTTTACTTAAAATTTAGCATGTAACCCGTAACAATCTTTCTATACTTTCTACTATTACCAACAATCCATTCAAATACACCAGCACTTTGACTTTACAACTGGATGGAACATTTCTTGGATTAACACTTCTTAAATCACTGTCTCTGTAACTGGTGAAAAAATTTTAACAATCTAAGCTTAGAGCAGAAAAAGGTTACTTTTAATAATCTTTGGGCGGGTATAATGGCCCAGCAGGCTGGGCTGCTGCATGCAACATCAGCATCCCATCAGAGTGCCAGTTCAAGTCCTGGCTATTCCACTTCCAATCCAGCTCCCTGCAAACTCACCTGGGAAGACAGTGGAAGACGGCTCATATACTTGGGCCCATCCCTTCCATCCACTTAGGAAACTTGGATGGAATTCTAGGCTTCTCGATCATTTGTCTCCCCAAATGAGTGGATGAAAGATCTCTCTCTCACTGACCGCTCCCCTCCAACCCCAGTCCTGTCTCTCCCTCTTTCAAATTAACAAATCTTTTAAAAAATAAAACGGGGCAAGCATGTGACACAGCGGGTTCAACTCCCTCTGCCTGGGACACCAGCCCATATCAGAGCATCAGTTTGAGTCCCGGATGCTCCGCTTCCAATCTGGTTCCAAACTCATGTTCCTGATAAAGCAGCAGAGGATGGTCCAAGTACTTGGGTCCCTGTCACCCATGTGAGAGACTCAGATGGAGTTCTTGGCTCCTGGATTCATCCAGGGCTGGGCCAGGCCACTTTGGCAATTAGGCAGTGAACCAGCATATGGAAAGTATTTCTCTCTCATATTGTCACTCTTTCAAATAAAACCCTAAAAAAAAATCATATGTATGAACTAAAACATGCAAGCAATCCATATTATCAATGGTGACTACAGCAACACTGACAAATTCTACCAAACATGTTTTCCAAATCTGTATGTTAGATCATCATCTAACATACCCATCTTCTCGTTTAAGATTTTTTTAAAAATTTATTTGAAAGGCATATTTACACAGAAACAAAGAGAGATCGTCTATCTGCAGATTCACTCCCCAAAAGCCACAACAGCCAGGGCTAAGCCAGGCTGAAGCTAGCAGCCTAGAGCTTCTGAGTAGTCCACGTGGGCGCAAAGGCCCAAGTACTTGGGCCTCCTGCTGCTACTTCCCCAGGTGCACAGCAGGGAGCTAGATCAGAAATGGAGCACCTGGGTCTCAAACCAGCACCCATATAGGATACAGATGGAAGCTTAACCTGCTAAGCCACAATGCCGGAGCTTCTGGCTCCTGCCTTCTGCCTGGCACAGCCCTAGCCATTACAGACATTTGGGGAAATAAAGCAGCGGATAGAACACCTGTCTCTCTGTCTCTGTAACTCCACCTTTCAAATAAATAAATCTTTAAAAAGTAAAATTTTAAAATTAAACAAAAACAACAGTGAGGCCAGTGCTACGGCATAGCATGTAAAGCTGTCACCTATAGCTCCAGTATCCCATTGCTGGGCTGCTCCACTTCCAATCCAGCTTCCTGTTAATGTGCCTAGGAAAGCAGCAGAAGACAATTCAAGTGCTTGGGCCCCTGCCATCCATGTGGGAGGCCCAGAGTTCCTGGCTCCTGGCTCTCTGCAACTCTGCCTTTCAAATGAACAGTTAAATCAAAACAAAACAAAACAAAAACAGTACTTATAGGGATCCAAGCAATTGCCATTCCCTCAACTAGACTAGATGGTCCCTTGCCAGCACTGCCCACATAATGGGTTAAGTCTCTGCTTGCAACGCCTGGTCCCATACTGAAGTGGCTGCTCCACTTCTGATCCAACTCCCTGATACTGCACTTGAGAAGGCACAAGATGGCCCAAGTACTTGGACCCCTCTACCCACGTAAGAGACCCCACAGTTCCTGGCTCCTGGCTTCGGCATGGCCCAACTCTGAACACTGCAGCCACTGGGGGAGTGAACCAATGTACGGAATATACCTTTTTGTCTCTCCCTCTGTGCTAACTCTACCTTTCAGATAAAAATAAAACTTAAAGATTTATTTTTTAAAAAGTAGAAAATAATAAATCACTGATATACTACACATACTAATTAACACCAGAGTAAGGGGCTGGTGCTGTGGTGCAGCAGATAAAATCACTGCCTATAGAACCAGCATACCATATGGGCACCAGTTCAAGTCCCGTCTATTCCACTTCCAATCCAGCATCCATGCTATGTGCCTGGGAAAGCAGCACAAAGTGGAAGATGGCCCAAGTACTTGAGCCCCTGCTACCTCATGGGAGACCTGGATGAAGCTCTTGGTTTCAGCCTGGCCATTGCGGCCATTTGGGGAGTGAACTAGGGGATGGGAGATCGATCGATCGATTGATCGATCTCTCTCTCTCTCTCTGCCATTTGGGGAGTGAATTAGGGGATGGAAAATCTCTGTCTCTCTCTCTCTGCCTCTCCCTCTTTGTAACTCTGCCTTTTAAATAAATAAATAAATCTTCTTAAAAAAAAAAAAAAAAGAGTAGCACAGTGGAAGCATGCTGGGCCCATGACCCAGAGGCCTAAGGATCAAAACCATCCTCAGGTTGTTGTGGTACAGCAGGCTAGCTAAGCCACTGCTTACAGCACTGGCAGCTGATATGAGAGTGCCAGTTTGAGTTCTAGTTGCTCCACTTCCAATGCAGCTTCCTGGTAATGCACCTGGGAAGGCAACAAATGGTGACCAAAGTTTTGGAGCCCTGCCTCCCATGTGGGAGACGTAGATGGAGTTCCTGGCTCCTGGTTTCAGCCTGGCCCAGACACAGCTGTTGTGGCTATTTGAGGAATGAACCAGCAAATAGAAGATTCTCACCCCCTCTCTCCCTCCCCGTCTCTCCCTTTCTTTCTGTCACTCTGCCTTCCAAATAAACAGACCTATTTTTAATTAAATAAAAAAAAAGTTATCGGAAAGTACTCTGAAATTATTAATGAATGACTGAAATGACTGATAAGAATCAAATTATATTACCTTGAGAAAGCTGCATCAAGTGAATATGCAAACTGCCAGGGATAACAGGTTCAGGAAGTTCTTGAAGGAAAAACCTAAGAAGACTAATAGCTGAGGGAACATCTGCTTCCTTAACCAAATCCACCTCTTCTCCACTGTCATATCTCTGCCGAAGCCACTCCACTGTCTCAGCATTTCCATTGACTTGAAAAAGTCCTTGTTGCTCCAGACCTCCTACATTAGTTCAAGGCAAACATTAAATAAGCTACAACTTCAACTATTTGACCATATATATTCATTCTCCAATCAACTTAAAATATTCATTCTTTTGGAAAGCCTTTGTTGGCTCCCCTGATCTGGCTAAAGACCTTCAAATTACACGCCTAGAAGCATACTATCTTTATTCTAAGGGATATTATATTTTATCCCACCCCTTATTAAAAATATTCCTGTCACCCCTACCAAAAAATGTTCTAGGCTGGGCAACCATCACATCTAGTATAAGAATTTAAGTAAAAAACATTAGAACGTTAAAAAGAGCGTCTATATTGTTTTCCCTATGTTTTGAACTTTCCATACTAAAAAGAAAAAATTTAAAAATCCAAGGTCAAAAAGGGTAAGTTGTGTTTATCAAAACAAAAGCTAGCCCTCAAAGTAAGGAAACGTATACCATGTTCCTCAATATAGTCCACAACGTGGCGGACTATGAACGGAACCTCATTGTCTGGATGTCCTCCCTGCTGCAGCTCATCAAGTGGAATTCCAAATATTTTGTTAGCAAGAACGGAGTTGCAGTTACTCAAGGAAGGGGAGGAGCTCTTCCTCATATCTTTTTTGCAGCCAGAAATCAAAGCTGTCTTTTCTGCCAAATGAAAGACAAAAAAAAAAAAAAACTATAATGATTAACAGGTGGCAATATGACTAAATACATTAAAGAAAAATGCTTTACACCTGAATGTGCGCTGTTTAATATGTTCCAGTTAATCAGGTCTACAGTTTTATCTAAGCATTCTCTTTCTTATGAATAGTTCTGAATGTTCCCTCTAGTGTTTGCATTTTAACAACAATAGCAAAATTAACTATCCAAAATTTAGGAAGGGACATTAATTTCCCAAAGACAAATTTAAGGGCAAATGTGACTCCAAGGAGACCTTTACTGACCAAGTTTGTAACAACACACCTAAAGATGATAAGAACAATCCATTTCCGGACACTGCTACATAAAAGCTCATCTAACCTCTTAATTCATAAACACCCATACCGGAAAGAATCACTTTTAATAAGATGATTGTCTAAAAATCCCTTTTTACAAATGATGAATTAGTATGAACAAGATTAATCAGTTATTTGTGCACAACAGCTGTATACATTTTTATTTAGAAAAAAAGGAAATTTTTCAGTTTTAAATAATATTTAATAAGCTAGGTCCTTTATCAACACTGCTGCTTCATAATTATTCAAAATAAAATTTTCCAACCAGTCTAATTCAGAAGAATAAGGAATTCTGATCGGCAAATAAGCCATGGGAGAAAACGACATCTCAGATGAATAAGCCTATTATCTAAGCATCTACTATCTAAAGTATAAAAAAAGAAAACTTCTTAAAAGCTGATAATGAGGCCGCCGTGGCTCAATAGCTAATCCTCCACCAGCGGCACCGGCACACTGGGTTCTAGTCCCAGTTGGGGGCGCCGGATTCTGTCCCGGTTGCCCCTCTTCCAGGCCAGCTCTCTGCTGTGGCCCGGGAGTGCAGTGGAAGATGGCCCAAGTGCTTGGGCCCTGCACCCCATGGGAGACCAGGAGAAGCACCTGGCTCCTGCCTTTGGATCAGCGCGATGTGCCGGCCGCGGCGGCCATTGGAGGGTGAACCAACGGCAAAAGAAGACCTTTCTCTCTGTGTCTCTCTCTCTCACTGTCCACTCTGCCTGTCAAAAAAAAAAAAAGCTGATAATGAAAAAAATGACACCAACTGGTCTTTTCTCACCACCCCACAGAGAAACTTCTTTTCCCATTGACAGTGGAAGATAGTAGATGACAAACATAAACCTAGTCAAAATTATAAACTTTACAGAAATAAGGCCCACTGGATCACGTCTATACCGAAGGGATCCAGAGTGTCACTGTATGACTGGAAAACAATCCAGCCAACTTGCAGAAATACTAGAAATTAACATAGGAACAACAAATGCCTTAACTTTACATACTGTTAGACAAGCAACATCCATACTTCAACATATCTGTGCCAGCTAATTACTACAAAACATCAAGTTAATAATCAAATAGCAGCTACAAGAATAAATAATGCTTTTTTAAAGGGGTCAGGTAGCTACAAGGAACAAACTTCAAAATCTGAGGCTAAATGGAGTATGGAATAGCTTCCACTGTGGAAACTTACCTTTGAGCACTTAAACACCTAAGTTTAAAAAATGACTTGTGCACCTGCTACCCTCACTGAGCAAGCATTCTTTTGTCATTTATGGCTGTTTGAGATTATGGCAGAAGATAAGCCTGTAGTTCCTCATTGAAGAAACGCAGAACTCGATCAGTACTTCAGCAGTTAATCTAGAAGAAAAAAGCAATTATTTTAATCTCTCAGAACTTCTTCAACTGTGAGAAAACAACAAAATAATGATTTAGGATGTTACCTATATTGAAAGGCATACTTCCCATCAAAAATCTGTCTGTAACCAAGTCAAAGACAAATTCTTCAAGAGTTTCAAAACATGATGATTAAGCTGGGTAAGAATCCTCCTGCTGACAATAAACAAAGGGACTACAAAGGGCATTCTTTGGCAATTTTCAGGGATTACACCATTCAAGTAATCCGTTCTTCTCAACGGATCCTTCATTTGTACACATTCTATCCCACCCCATTTCTTCATTTCCTCATATACTCAAAACTAAGCATTAAGTATTTTCAGGAGATCAAAGGAGGTATCAAAGGTTTACTTTAAGCTCAGAAATGTACTTATGTACTTTTTTTTAAAGATTTATTTTATTTATTTGAAAGACAGAGTTACAGAGAGAGGTAGACAGAGAGAGAGGTCTTGCAACCGTTGGTTCACTCCCTAGATGGCTGCAAAGACCGGAGCTGAGCCAATCCGAAGCCAGGAGCTTCTTCCAGGCCTCCCACGTGGGTGCAGGGGCCCAAGGAATTGGGCCATCTTCTACTGCTTTCGCAGGCCATAGCAGAGAGCTGGATCGGGAGAGGAGCAGCCAGGACTAGAACCACTGCCCATGTGGGATGCTGGCACTTCAGGCCAGGGCTTTAATCCGCTGAGCCACAGCACCAGCCCCTACTTATGTACTTTTACTTTCATCTTTTCTTTGCAAATAACATACTTGTTTTCTGAGCTTTCTGATTTGCAGAAACAATAGCACATCCTGGGAAGGAGCAGAAAGAGAAGGAGGGCAAAGACTTAGACTCAAATACCAACTCAACCATTTTGCAGATATCCAAGCCTGAAAACTTTACATGTCTCTGAGCCTAGATTTCCTTATATAAAATAAATATGCCTATATAGCTAATTTTCATTGGACTAACATGCACATAATAAGTGGATAGTGAACCAGTTATCTCTCTATTCTGTGCATAAGGCTCAAAGACTAGCAAACAGGCTAGGAAGGGAGGAAAATACTTGTTTGCCAATGTTTTTAATATTTGCTGTCATCCTCTGTGGAGTCTAGCTATCTATTAACAACTCTTTGAATAAGCTCAGTAAGCTACACTGCAATGCTCTGCCCAAGAAGCTTCACTAACGCGAAAGAGTGATATCACCCACCGTGTTCCAAAAATCTTATTAGTAACATTCACCTCCAAAAGGAACACTTAAAAACTAAGAAGGAAAACCACATTCCCACAACAAATCTTTTACTACATGATTAATTCCAAAACATCCTGAAATGCCTGCTAGAACATGCAGTTCACCTACATGTCTATTCATCTGAAAAACAACTTCAAAGTTAGAATAAAGATGTTTTATAGGGCAGGTGTTGTAGTGCAGAGGGTTGAGCTACCACCTTCAGTGCCAGGAGCCTGCTATTTTATCTCATGTCCTCTATTGCACCTAACCTCTAACTATACATAACCTGAAAAGCTAATCTTTGTTAAGGTGATGCTGGATAGGAATCTACTGATTCATCAGCAAAAGTTCATCCTCACTACTAGAAAAACAATCCAGTACAAAAATCTTTCAGGTGGCCAGTGCTGGGGCTCACTTGGCTAATCCTCCACCTGAGGCACTGGCACCCCAGGTTCAAGTCCCAACTGGGGTGCCAGATTCTGTCCCGGTTGCTCCTCTTCCAGTCCAGCTCTCTGCTGTGGCCCAGGAAGGCAGTGGAGGATGGCCCAAGTCCTTGGGCCCTGCACCCCATGGCAGACCAGGAGGAAGCACCTGGCTCCTGGCTTCGGATCGGCACAGCTCTGGCCGTAGTGGCCATTTGAGGGTTGAACCAATGGAAAAAGGAAGACCTTTCTCTCTGTCTCTCTCTCTCACTAACTCTGTCAAAAAAAAAAAAAAAAATCTTTCAGGTGACGAGTTTCTCTGTATCCTGAAGAACACTGATGATAATGGCCAGATTTGTGCCACAGTGGGTTAAACCACCACTTGCAACACTGGCATCCCATATTAGCACAATTAGCTCCCTGCAACTGTGCCTGGGAAAGCAGCAGAAGATAGTTCAAGTGCTTGGATCCCTGCCACCCGCATGGGAGAGACCCAGACAGAATTCTAGGCTACTGTGGCTTGGCCCAGACCAGTCTTTGTAGCTATTTGGGGAGTGAACTAGTACATGGAAGATCTCTCTCTCTCTCCCCCTCTTTCCCCTGCCCCTGCTTCCCCATAACTCTGGTTTTTCAAAAACAAATAAATATTTTTTAAATTAAAGAGATAACAGCAAGCAGCAGTTAGCAGTAACTGAGAAGTTTAGGTACTTCACAACTTACATATATTGAAAAGGTGTTATTATAACCTTTATTTTAACCGAACACTGCATAAAGGTTCACCAATTAACCCACAACCCACCCAGTTCATAAGGATCAGAGACAGAATTTGAATCCAAAGAATCTGACTCCCAAAGTTCTCATCTTACTTATTTACACCTCTCTATTTAAGTCCTCAAAATTTACAGTACCACAGAATCCTTTATTTTATCTCCAGCTGGCCCTAAAGTTAGGAAGTGACATACTCCTAACATGCTAACAGGAGCTTGAGCCCCCAGCTAATTACTCACTTAGGACCTCTATCTACAGCACACTAAGAGGACTTAGACTGGAGATCAGCCCAACATATAGAATTTATTAAACTGCAGAGTAGTTTTTTTTGTTTTTTTGTTTTTTTTTAAGATTTATTCATTTGAAAGGCAGAGGAACAGAGAAGCTGAGGCTGAGGCAGGGAGCGGGTGGAGGGGAGACTGTCTTCCAACCACTGGTTCACTCCCTAAAAGGCCATCGGCTAGACCTGGGTGGATCTGAAGCCAGGAGCCTGGAGTTTCTTCCAGGTCTCCCACAAGGGGGGGCCCAAGGATTTGGGCCGGCCATCTTCCACTGCTTTCCCAGGCTATGGCAGTGAGCTGGATCAGAAGTGGAGTAGTTGGGACTCGAACTAGCGTCCATGTGGGATGCCGGCACTGCAGGTGGCAGCTTTGGTGGCTTTATCCACCACACCACAGCACCAGATCACACAGACTGGTTTTTGACATTAATAATTCCACCCCTTTTCAGGTGTTTTTGTTTTTTGGTTTTTTTGGTTTTTTTTTGGACGAGCAGAGTTAAACAGTGAGAGAGAGAGAGACAGAGAGACAGAGAGAAAGGTCTTCCTTTTTCCGTTGGTTCACCCCCCAAGTGGCCTCTACGGCCAGCACGCTGTGCTGATCTGAAGCCAGGAGCCAGTTGCTTCCTCTTGGTCTCCCATCCGGAGCAGGGCCCAAGGACCTGGGCCATCCTCCACTGCCTTCCCAGGTTTTAATCATTCAAATACTTCCTTAACATCTGTAGTGAACTGAATAATGACCCCCCCCCGGCCCCGCCCAAAACAAAACAAAAAAAAGAAACCCTCATGTCCCACGACTTGGAAAGAGTCTTCACAAATGTAATGAGTTAAGGATTCCAAGATTAAATGACCCTAGAATGAGGAAGGGCCTGAATCCAACAACCGGTGTTGTTATAAGAAAGAAGACATAGAGAGAGAGACAGAGAGAGAGAGAGAGCGCGCATGTGCCATGTGAAGATGGCAACACAAAATGGGCTACACTACTAGAAGCCAACAAATGTCAGCAGTCACCAGAAGCTGGAAAAGGCAAAGGATTCTGCCCTAGAATCTTTAGAGGGAGATCTGCAACACCCTGATTTTAACTTCTGGCCTCCAAAACTGTGAGAGAACACTTCCTACAATTTTCATGTCTTTCAGTTTGAGGTAATTTGTCATGGAAGCTCTAGAAAACTAATGCCACACTTAAGCTAGAATATCAGTTTCCCAAAAAGAGAGGGGCTGGCATTGTGGCACAACAGGTTAGGTTGCCACCTGGGATACCCACATCCCCCTGTGAATGTCAGTTCAAGTACCAGCGACTCTGCTCCCAGTGAAACTTCCTACTGATGTGCATCCTGGGAGTCAGCAGACATTGCCTCAAGTACTTCTGTCCCTGCCATCCATGTGAGAACTGAATGGAGTTCCAGGCTCCTGGCTGTGGCCTGGCTTAGCTATGGCCACTGCAGTCATTTGGGGAGTGAACCAATGATGAAAGATTGCTCTCTCACTCTGCCTTCCAAATATATATTTTTTGACAGAAAAAGAAAACAACAGCATGCACCTCAAAGAGTAGTGAAATATAACCTAACAGATAGAAACAATGAAACACAAAGAAATAAGTTATATAAAAGGCTTGACAGAAAATACAATGTGAAGACTTTCAAAACAACCAGAGATTTCCAAAAGCATAGTGTTACTATAAATCAGAACAGAGAAATTATTTTAAATACAAGTGACAGCTGCCTAGCATAGTGGTATTGAAAAATAGGAAATCACATTGAATTTTACATCACAAACTTTGGCATGAGACAAGACATATCAAAGGCAGACTAACAAGACATATCAAAGGCGTAGACTAACCCTTCACCTGAGGGACCAGCATCCCATATGGGTGCTGGTTCTTCTCAGCTGCTCCTCTTCCAACCCAGCTCTCTGCTATGGCTTGGCAGAGCATAGGAAGATGGCCCAGGTGCTTGGGCTCCTGCACCCATGTGGGAGACCCACAAGAAGCTCCTGGCTCCTAGCTTCGGATCAGCCCAGCTCTGGCCATTGCGGCTATTTGTGGAATGAACCAGAGGATGGAAGACCTTTCTCTCTGTCTCTCCTTCTCTCTGTCTATAACTACCTCTTATGTAAATAAATAAATAAATAAATAATCTTTTTTTAAAAACTGATTAAAATAATGGCATTAAATACTAAGTATCGGGTCTGGCGCTGTGGCACAGCGGGTTAATTTCCTGGCCTGAAGCGCAGGCATCCCATATGAACACCGGTTCTAGTCCCGGCTGCTCCTCTTCTGATCCAGTTTTCTGC